TAATTTTTCACTTTTGTTTTTATAGCATATTGTTTTCCAAAAATGAATATATATGAGAATCATTTGGGTGAATTTTTAAACCGTAAAATTCCTTTCTCAGGTATGGTGGCAGAGGCCTGTAATCCCAGTGACTCAGAAGGCTGAAGCAGGAGGATTGCAAATTTGAGGCCAACCTGAGCAACTTAACCAGACCCTCTCTCAAATAAAAAGGGCTGGGGGTGTGATAAAGTGGTAGAGCACCCCTGGATTCAATCCTCCATACTGGAAGAAAACAAAAAAGAAAAATTCAAATTCTTCAGCCTTTTTTCCTAGAGAGTCCTTCATTAAATAGGTCTAGGTTGTAGTCTGGTAAGTGGTATTTTTAAAAGGTATACCATATTAATTAGCCATTATCGAGTTCAGATTTTTAATAGAGTTATAGGTAAATTGATGCATATAATTCATCTTCCTGACCAGGATGTGAGAATAAAGGTTATGTCATAGTCATTTTTTTCCCCATAGTTTATGGAATTTAATACCTTATGTGGAATTTAATATTAGCAAATGTCTTTTCTAATAGTTGTTCATTTGGGACCTGGAGAAAGTTCTTCAGAAGATGCAGTCATGATGAATACACCTGTGGTTAAATCTGCTTTGGAAATGGGCTTTAGTAGAAGTCTGGTAAAACAGACAGTTCAAAGTAAAATCCTAACCACTGGAGAGAATTATAAAACAGTTAATGATATTGTATCAGCACTTCTTGATGCTGAAGATGAAAGAAGAGAAGAGGAGAAGGAAAGACAAGCTGAAGAAATGGCATCAGGTATTTTGGAATGTTAATTATCTACATTATTTTTCAGTGAAGTTACTGTCTCATGTTGCAGGACAGCATCCTTTTCTCGTACCCACTTACTGCTGGTAACAATTCTTAGGCGTTTCTAAACTATATCTTCTGTACTACCTCTCTCAGTTGCTTCTACTTGAGAACCACTGACTATGGCATTTTTCTGTATGATTATTTCCTGTTAAGATTCTCTAAGTTATACTAATCAGAATTTTTAACAAAAGCTCTTTTCTTGAGCAATATTACATTTCTTCTTCATACATAACAAATTTTAATCATTTTTAAAGGCAAGATTTTAAAATTGGCTGCAGATATTACTTCTACTTTTAAAAAATGTTCCTTCAAATAATATTCTTAATATATTTTTCTCACCAACCCTTGTTTAAGAGATCCTTTTATACACATAAAAGGATCTCCTAAACAAGGGAACTTAGAATGAAATCCTAGGGTTTGATGAAAACCTTCTGCCCAACCCGAGGATGGTATGGAACTGATTTTGGTATTCATTTAGATTGTTTTAAGTCTCAGCCTCTCAGAACAAGTAATCATATATTCCTTAAACCAGTATTTGTTGCATATAAACATCAGTGCTAATACTGTGCTAATCTTGGTGATTGTTCTCAAGGAGCATGTAGATTAGCTGGGAAGAATCATATGCAAACGACAGGATTAAAGAGCTAACAAAGATAAATGTTGCATAATGTAGTTTAAATTGCAGTATTGGGTTGTAAGAGACTGTTCTTTTTAAGCTTGTAAAGTAGTTAGGAATAATTTAAGACACCCTTATTGTGTGGCCATGGAGCAAAATGTTTAAGACCCGTGGATTGAAATAGATTTGTGTTTAAATTCTGGCTTTTTTTTTCAGTTACTAAGTTAGCAGTTCGTTCAGCTGTAAGTCAGCTTTTTGATCTGTAAAATATGGACAGTAATAGTACCTATCCCGCAGAGGTACTGTAGGAATTAAATGAGATATTTCTAGTAAAATACTTGAGCACAGTGCCTGGCACATAAAATTTCTTTTCTGTTAATTTTTTATTGTTGTTTTGATGCTAGCAATTGAATCCACAGCTTCATGCATGCCAAACATACAACACTACCACTGAAGTACACATCCAGCCCACCTTTTAAGTATATTGATTTGGAAAGTACGAGTGGCTGGTAAAAGAAAGGATCTGAGGAAAGTGAAAAGATTTAAGGATTATAAAGCAGTTAAGCTCATGTAGAATTACTGTTGTCAGTGTACTTACCTTAATTTTGTGTCTCCAACTTTGTGTATGTTTCAGAATAGTCTTGAATTATGGATATGGGAAGGTTTATATGTGAAAGGTCAAATAAGGAACAGGGTAAAGAGCTAAGTGTGCTAATCAGAGAACATCATTGGAATAACCTAACTGATCTGTAGATTGGAATGGGAAATAAACAAAACCAAGAGCTAGCTCTTGTGCTAGTAGAATTGGGAATGATGTGGGGATTTTGAAAAAATAAAGAACAAATTTGTTAGCAGTGAGGCACAGGTTGTGGTCAGAGAAGGAAATTTCATAGTTTTAAAATGAATAGAGCTGTTCATTTCTAGAAAGTTGTAAATGGGGAAGGAAACTGGACTTCTCTTTTTATAATTTATTTCTAATGAGATTTATACCTTATAGCAGTGTACTTTAAAAAAATGTTTTAAGTCTGAAAATAAGCAGCTTTATAGTGATTGGGGCTCCAAAAGGAAGAATTATGAATAATACCATAGCAACTTATATTCCATAATAGTAAATTACTTATGAAATTTTATGTGATTTGAGATTAAAGGAGAAACATTTGCTTTTTAATAAAATCAAGCTTGATTCATATGTAATTTATTTAAAAATTGCTATAAATGTAGACAGTTTATTTTAAAAAAAAAGAACAGCCAACTATGTGCCAGATATTGTACTAAATTCTTTTTGTACATTAATCCTCAAAACTCCAATAGACTGTTATTTGTATTTTACAGATGAGGAAATTGATTGAGGTATATGGATGGAGATGTTAGAGAACTTGGCCAGTAAGTTGCCAAGCTTGCATGGGAACCTAAGTCTTATCTTGACTTTGTAGCTGAAGCTCTGCAAAATTATAGTTCTGCTTTCTGAGTATAAGATGTTTAAAAGAACCACTGGTCTAAGACACCTGGTTTTGCAGCTTATTCTGGACAAGCCACTCATTCTTTCTGAGTCTTTTTCTCTATCTGAAAATGGAAGGCAGTAATACTTGCCTTGTTTGATTGTTAGGGTATATGTGTCAGATGAAACAATTGATATGCAAATGCTTAAAAAAAGTAAAGTGATATAATGTAAATAGAAGTATTATTGATTCCATGGTGAGACAAATTCAGAGGTGAGAAACATTTACTACCTTTATATTTGCTGCTTACTGTCAACAGAATAAAGAAAACGGGGTTCTAATATGTGTTAGTATCTCAACTTTAAAATTATAGAAATAGAGACCGTTATTTTCTCTATTGTTTTATAATCTTCTGGAAGTTTTCCAAATGACAGACTTTAGAATGCAAATAAGTCATTTTGTTCTTTTTCAAGCCCTGTTCAGTAGAGTTAGTTGTTAATGACTATATGATTGTAGTGGAGGAGTTTAATGGATTTTTTTTTCTTTCTTTTTTTAAATAAAGATGATTTGTCATTAATACGGAAGAATAGAATGGCTCTTTTTCAACAGTTGACATGTGTCCTTCCTATCTTGGATAATCTTTTAAAGGCCAATGTAATTAATAAACAGGAACATGATATTATTAAACAAAAAACACAGATACCTTTACAAGCAAGAGAACTGATTGATACCATTTTAGTTAAAGGAAATGCTGCAGCCAACATCTTCAAAAACTGTCTAAAGGAAATTGACTCTACATTATATGAGAACTTATTTGGTGAGTTTGTTGGGAAAATCATTTTAAGAAATCCTTAGCATTATGTTAATGTTTCTGACAAGCAGAATAAATCCAATTAAAATATTTAACTTCTGCACCAAAGGTGGTGTCTTTTATTATCCAAGTAATATACCTAAATGTAATAGTTCTTGATAATATATAGCTTTCTGTAATGATATTTGTATCGTTCATTGGATAGTATGTGAAAAAAAATTAAACAGTTTTGTATTTACCTTCATAGAATGATGATTTTTGTATGCTTTTCTTTCCTCAGTGGGAAAGAATATGAAGTATATTCCAACAGAAGATGTTTCAGGTAAAATAGATTTAAGACTTAAAACCAATGTGAAATATTAACCTTTTTTTTTGTATCAGATGTAAAGTGAAAACTGAATTTCACTAAAGTTCTTTTTGTTATTAGGTCTGTCACTAGAAGAACAGTTGAGGAGATTACAAGAAGAAAGAACCTGCAAAGTGTGTATGGACAAAGAAGTTTCTATTGTGTTCATTCCTTGTGGTCATCTGGTAGTATGCCAGGAGTGTGCCCCATCTCTAAGAAAATGTCCTATTTGCAGGGGTATAATCAAGGGTACTGTTCGAACATTTCTCTCATAAAAGAATAGGCTATATTTTAGTCTTTACCAAAAAGCCTTTAAGCTGTTGTTGAACATTGCAAGCCATCTAAAATTAAAACAAGGAATGTTTGGTTCTTTATTTAGTAACATTTATGTTCTATTCTATTTAGGTATGAATAATCTTATTTCAAAAAGAGATAGTATTGTATATTTAATCTTAATCCGTTTAGTTGTAAGAGAAGACTTGTTTTTCATGAACTAAATCAGTATGTAAGTGTGAACACAGGAAGAATTAAAGGAGTAGTGTCAGTGTTGTTATGGGTCATTTCAGGAGTTACTGGATTTGGTATTTATGAAAGCTTTGAGTACTACATTACAGTATAGTTGAAAAACTGTAAATTAGTAACACTGGAATTCATCAGAGTTGTTAACAGATTCTTTGGTGCTTTTCACTTGTTTTGTTAAGTAAGGATTATTTCTGTTACTGATAAACAATATTTCCCCTAACCTGTGAGAAACAATAAAATGCTTTATGATTATTGTATCATCAAAATTTATTTTTTTTACCCTATTATAAAAAGTAATTTTCATCTGTGTTTACTCATTTGCTATGAAGTAAAAAATTGAATTCATGAAACAAATTATTGTTTTTTAAATATGATTCATGGGAATTCCTTTAAAAGACAATATAGTTGCTTTGTATAATATAGATAAAATGTTGGATTAAAACTGAATCATTATCAAAAACTCATAGTAAAATTAGATAAATCTACACTTATTTTTTTAAAATAAAAAATAGCTTTGTTGCATAGGTGTTGATAGGGTGAGCAGATAAGAAATGGACAACTGTAGGTACCTCCTTTTTGGCACAAGCCTATTTGACCTTTCTTACATCTAACTCTCTGGCAGACTTTGGAGGCAAGGTAGATAGGAGGTTTAGTGTTTAAAAACTCCATTTTCCTTTCTCCACTAGTCTTTTAAGATTTCTTCAAGGGCCGGAGAGTCCCCGCGTGAGCAGAGGGTGCCTGAGGCAGGGGCCAAGAAACAAAGTTCCTGGGGCTGCCTCCGGGGCCGCTGTCTGGGCTGCCTGTTGGGCCGCTCGCCGCCTCGCGAAGGCCATGGCTTCCAAACTCCTGCGCGCGGTCATCCTAGGGCCGCCTGGCTCGGGCAAGGGCACCGTGTGCCAGAGGATCGCCCAGAACTTTGGCCTCCAGCATCTCTCCAGTGGCCACTTCTTGCGGGAGAACCTCAAAGCCAACACGGAAGTTGGCGAAATGGCAAGGCAGTACCTGGAGAAAGGTCTTTTGGTTCCAGATCACGTGATCACATGCCTAATGGTGTCAGAGCTGGAGCTCAGGAGCGGCCAACACTGGCTACTGGATGGTTTTCCAAGGACAATAGTACAGGCTGAAGCCCTCGACAAAATCTGTGACCTGGATCTAGTGATCAGTTTGAACATTCCATTTGAAACACTTAAAGATCGTCTCAGTCGACGTTGGATTCACCCTCCTAGTGGAAGAGTCTATAATTTGGACTTCAACCCACCTCATGTGCATGGAATTGATGACATCACAGGTGAGCCACTCCTCCAGCAGGAGGATGATAAGCCTGAAGCGGTTGCTGCCAAGCTAAGACGGTATAAAGATGCAGCCAAACCAGTCATTGAACTATACAAGAGTTGAGGAGTGCTCCACCAATTTTCTGGGACAGAGACGAACAAAATCTGGCCTTATGTTTACACACTGTTCTCCAACAAGATCACACCTATTCAGTCCAAAGAAGCCTACTGAGCCTGTCCCATGGAAGAACCAAGAAGATGTGGTCGTTCATTCAATCGTGTGTGTAACATTGATGCCATGTCCAAATTAGAAGTCAGCTGAGATAGCTTACAGCATCTTTTCTGTGTAAATGGTGAACTGATAGGAAAACTAGTAAATAGAAAGGGCTCATGAAGAGGCCCTCCTCTGTCTTTCAAAAGAAGGCAACTCTGGACCTGTCAAGCCCTTCACAAGCAAGCCAGTGCAGGCTAGATTTCAGGTGTCTAACCTACACTCTAGTTGGGTTTGGACAGCCAAGTTGTTGCTTTAATAGCCTCTTTTTGCATGTGATGACAGTGGTCTCTGGTTCTCCCCACCCTTCCAAGGTATTGAAACACAGAACCAGTAAACACGAGAATGCAGAGGACTCTAGTCTTGGCTTTGCCACAGTTCTCTGCTTTGTGCCCCCTCGTAACAGTGGAATTGAATCTTATTGCTCTCAGTGGTTGCTTCTCTTGAGTGACTGTGTTCACAATTCATTTTTTTTTTTCCTGCTAAGAGTAACGCCTTTCAGCCATGCTCCATGGTGTCCCTCCTTTGCAGATATCCTGGGATGAAAGGATTTGTTTTCTTACATCTGTTTTCTCTCATCTTAGGATATTAAATAGAGGCTATTAAATAATACAGATAGTTGCTGCATTTATCCCTCTCAAATTTGTTTTTTTATGAACTGAGAGCTAGGGGTTACATTGAATCTCTTCATGCATCATGAACTGAGCCATGCAGAGGGTCTTATTTAAATGCTGGTCTGATTCTCATGGGCTTGTTCTGCTCATTTTATTGTGAAAAAAAATTAGAACCTCCCCCGCTGAATCTTTTGGAATCCTCAAAAATTAATCTATAGAAATGTTGGAAGATCATATTTTGTGTATAGAGGAAATAAGACCATATGGAATTACTGGACTAATAGAATAGTTAAGCTTTTTATTCAAGACAACAAAATGAATTTTGAATATGCTGCTAAAAAAAAAAAAGATTTCTTCAAATGGAGAATTTGCTGAGAAGGGTGGGTGAAAATTTCTCCATCCTCCAGTTTCTTCTCTTGCATTTGTTTCCCTCTTAATGTTCTGATACATGTCTGTAAATGCAGATGCATACATCTAGGTTCAAGACCTCATATCCAGTAAGAGAAAGTCTCATTATATAGAAAGAATGTAAAGTGAATTTTTTACGCCTTAAGTTTTATTTATTTATTTATTTTTGAGGTACTGGGGATTGAATTTGGGTCCTCTACCTCTGAGCTACATTCCCATCCCTTTATACTTTTTATTTTGAAACAGTATCTCACTGGGTTTCCTGTCAGATTTTGCAGTCCTCCTGCCTTAGCTTCCTGAGTAGCTAAGTAAGGATTTTTCTATGGTTATCTGTTAGTATGCCAGGAATGTGCTCCTTCTGTAGGAAAATGTCCTATTTGCAGGAGTATAATCAAAGGTACCCTTTTTATAAATTATAAACATGGAAATCAAGACTCAGTGAAAATGATGTAGACTGCTGGAGATGATAAGTGGTAGACTGAAATGTGTATGGTCCATGTAGGGGAGCCTCCAGAACATGTATCTTTTTCTTGATATTATACTTCAGTTGTCTACTTTCTTGTGTTTAGAAAGAATGTTTCTTCACCCTTTTAACCTAAATAAGGGGAACTATGTAATCATTTGTTAGACTTTTGTTTTTGTTTTTCACATTCTTTCTGAAAAGAGCTCAATTTCTGGGTCTGGAATTCTAAGAAACTACCTGTTGACTGATACTGAAGCCAGAATTAGGCAGTCAGTATAGATAGGTAAATCGAGTCAGGTTGGATCAAGAAGGACAATTTTGAGTCATTCCGGCAAGTTTATAACGTTAATGAATGTGTCCTGGGCTGCTCTTCCCTCTTCAGCCTACCTTTTCCCCACATTTTGGCTAGCCCACCAAGCATTTCCTATGAGCATTTCCTAGGCCTAGAGGGTGTGTCTAGGAATGAGGCAAGGAGAAGAGAAAGGGCAGGAGAACAAAGGAAGGACATATAAAAAGGGCAGAACACCTTGCTTCTTGGGATACCAGGATACCAGCTACGGCCCTGCCCCCTTCCCGGAAAAGTCTGTTACTCCTTTTTAAATAATCCCTGTTTTATATGCTTGCCTTGGAGAGCTTCTCTAATATTCAGACTTCAACATGTGAGAAAGCAGAACTGGTCACTGATAACCGGTGGTATCACTATTCCATAAGTCAAAGGACACCATCAACTTTAAAGACAGATCTCAAAAATTTTTCTAGAAATGTTAACATTTTAGTGAATTTCCCCTACAATATATAAAATCAATGAGTGCATAATAACACAATTTGTTGATCTCAAAATCCCTTTTACAATTCTAAAAATTAAGGAACCCAAAGAACTTGTGTTTATGCACGTTTAACATTTTGTTACCATGTTAAAAATTAAAACAAAAATTGTAAAACATTAATTCATTTAAAATAATAACTATATATACATACTAAATATATACACTATATACTATATATATATATATATATATATACATACACACACACATACTATATGCTAGTGTAACACCTCTTGAAAAATAATTAAAATTTGGTTAGAAGAGTGTAATGGTTAATTTGAATTGTGAATTTGTATTAAGAGATGTCTAGGATTGATTTATGGGTGTGTCTAGGAATGATTGGCATGTGGGATAGCCAACTGGAATGGAGACCCTCCCTAAGCGTGGGCAGCACCAACCAATAAGATGATGGCTTGGATGGAATAAAAATTGGAAGAACAAGGAAGTAACAGCAGATGCAAGCTGGGTTCTTGTAGAATGGATTCTGATTGCTGCTGCAATGGTCTGAGAATATTGGACTCTTGCTTCTTCACTCTTCTAAAGTGGACTCCGACAGTGATTCTTCGGAAGCCTTTGACTAGGGTAGCACAGTTGAGCTCTCTTGTTCTGGGGCCTCAGCCTCTTGGATTATGCAGCTCCTGGTTCTAGCTCTCCAGCCTGCAGATGGCCATTATGAACTATCCAGCTTCTTGTCACATAAGCCAACCTAATAAGTCCCCTTTTTATAATTATACTTCCTGTGGATTCTGTTTCTCTAGAAAACCCTAATACCAAGAGTGACATTGTTTTAGCTCAATAGAAGACAGCTGGATTCTCATGTGCTTATATGTCTAATGATACGTTTTTGTGTGTATGATGAAAATTCAGTCTCATTTGGCAAAGGAAGAATTTTTAGATAATTGTAGGTATTATTTCTTGATGTAATGCCAAAACTTGACAAGTGGTAGTTTCTTAAAGACATTGGAGAGCTGGGAGCTATGGCACATGCCTGTAATCCCAGCAGCTGGGGAGGCTGAGGCAGGAAGATCATGAGTTCAAAGCCAGCTTCAGCAAATTAATGAGGCACTAAGCAATTCAGTGAGAACCTATCTCTAAATAAAATACAAAAAAGGGTTGGGGATGTGGCTCAGTGATGAAGTGCCCTTGAGTTTGATCCCTGCTACCAGAAAAAAAAAAAAAAAAGATATTTTGGAGTATAGATTAAAAAATGTCAGTTATCTTTTTAAAAGGTAAAGTTTTTAAGAGCCATGTTAGATTTATTGCAAAATGAGTGGAAATTACAGATAGTTCTCATATACATCTGTGTCTCTACACATGCACATCCTCTTCCACTGGTAACATCCCACACAGCGGTGGTTCATTTGTTAATGAACCTACATTGACACATTATCAGTATTTTGTCAATTATTCTTTTAAAAATGCTGTTCCATGAACAGAGAGCAAATTCAGCTTAACAGTTCAATCACAGAAGTGCCTTTCTTTGAGAAAATCTTTGTACTTTGGTCAAGTAGAAGCTCTTTTTGTGCACTTCCCATTTTGTCACATATTATTCATATTATTAAAGCGATGTTGATGTTTACTCAAGGGTCAGATTTCATTCACATTTTTATGACTTCACTAGAGATACTCTTACAATGAAAGGTCTTTTTTTTTTTTTTTTTTGTACCGGGGATTAACTCAGGGTCACTCAACAACTGAGCCACATCCCCAGTCCTTGTTTGTATTTTATTTAGAGACAGGGTCTCATGAGTTGCTTAGCAAGCCTGGCTGTTGTTAATCCTCTTGAACTTGCAATCCTCTTGCCTCAGCCTCCTAAATTGCTGGGATTACAGGTGTGCACCAGCACGCTCAACTAAAGAGGCATTTTTTTTTTTTAACTGAAGATATGTTTTGATGCCACTATCTCAATTCATGTAAAGGTGTCAACAGTTTGACCACCATTGTTTTTTCACCATCAGTGCAAATGTCAGCCCAGTGAAAATGGCAAATAACTTTTTAGATTTTTTTTGTTTTTGTTTTTTAGAAATCCCAAAAGGATTTCCAGGACCTGCAGAGCCTATGAACTACCGTGTAAGAACTATTAGCATGGTAAACATTAATCTTACTTTTTTAAAAAATATTGTTTTTAGTTGTATATGGACACAATACCTTTATTTTATTTGTTTTATTTTTATGTGGTGCTGGGGATCAAACCCAGTGCCTCTCGCATGCGAGGCAAGCACTCTACCACTGAGCCATAACCCCGGTCCCCAATTTTTTTTTTAATAAAAATCAAGAAGAATTAAGGAAAAACTTTAGTTCACTCAGGCTTCCTTGGTATAGTGGGAGCTCTCTTTGCACCTGCACTTATATTTTTGGTACTTTTGAAAGAGAAACTTGGTAGCACAATGCTGTCTTGCCTTGTCTTTCTCTGTAGTAGCTGGTCAGCCTGCCCACTGAGCATGTACCGTATTCCTCTGTGACTCTGGCATCACAGAGGCCTGCCTTGATTTTTCAGTATTGCCAATGACTGGCAAATAGTTTAAATATTTTGGGATTTGTATTAGGAAATCTACACCTAAGTGTTTTCCTCCAAAGCCTTTTTGGTAATAAAGGTGAGTTTTCATCTCTATGTGATGATTCTTTTTACCCTTTATTGGTTCTTGGGTGGGAGGGATGTAATTTTAAAAAATTATTTTTTAATTTTTTTTTTTTGGTAGTGGGGATTTAACCTACAGGCGTTTTATCACTAAGTTACATCCTCCTTTTTATTTTTTATTTTGAGACCGGGTCTTGCTAAGTTGCTGAGGATGGCCTTAAAATTGTGATCCTCCTACCTCAGTCTCCCGAGTTACTGGCATTACAGGTGTGTGCCACAGACCCAGCAGAAGGGGTGTAACGTGCCCTACAAATCTGTAGCAGACCTATTGATCTTTTGGTGTATGCATGGTTATTCAGGGGAAGAGGGATAGCTTACTAGAAATGGAAAGACCATTGTAATAGTGCTAGATCCTGTTATCTTTCTGGTATAATGGTGTCTATAGATAAGTTTTAACTAGAATCCTTGGAGCTTTAAGCCTTAGCGGCTCTGGCAATAAAGGGTTAATAGGTGAGTATGATGGTGTGTATAGACAGGTTTTAACTAGAATCCTTGGAGCTTTAAGCCTTAGTGGCTCTGGCAATAAAGGGTTAATAGGTGAGTATGATATTACATACACAGCTGCATTGCTCAGTATGGTATAGGGAAAAAAGCCCTGCATTTCACATCTGAAGACTTTGTCTCTCAGTTCTCCCATTTAAAAAGGCCTTTGACAAAGCCTTTATAATTCTCTGATCCTTA